TTTTTTGGTGTGAAACCCCCCCCCCCCCCCCTGAGGGCCCTTTACACAAATACAGCCAACCTCCTGTCAACTGCCCGCTGTAAACCATTAACATTAACAAATTATAGCAGGTCTTTTAGGGTTTTTTTGAGCATTTTAGTTACTATGGCTTGTGGCTTATTGTACCTGAATGTTGTAAAACATATGCAATACTATATTAGTTAAATGGTTCCTTCTCAAGCATTCATGCCTTTTTTTCAGCATGTGCCAGTTTCGTAATCATGCAGTGTCGTTGCCAGGTTTCAAAAAATTGGTGGTGTGCCTTTAAGAGAGGCTTCTGTGCCTGTAGGCTAAAGTTGATTTGGCTAAATGGATTAGCAGTTATCCTGTGATGTTACAGCCTAGTAAACATGCACTGATATAGCGAGAAAGAAGAGGGGCCCTGATTAACCTTCCACATTTAGGACAGCTCTGTCATTATTAAAGGCTTCATATCATCAAATAAAACAGTTCATAATATGAAAACAAACTTTCAGAAGCTGGAGCTATAGGATCTTCTGAAGCTAACAGCCCCCTGCACCAGACAGATGAATACATCAACACATGATTGTCTATTTACATGTCAATAACGCCTGTTCTGGCCTGCCCTGCAATGGTGATTGCTTTTAAGATTACACACAAAGCATGGCTTCCCCTGGAATTTCTTCAGAAATGTAGCTGTGACATGTTTATCAGTGTACAAATAATATACACTATAATGTACATCAGTGGTTATCAATCTTTTTGACTCCAGGCCCCCCATGTAGATGTTTCTGGTACGTCTGCAGTAATAAAAAGGCTGCTTATTTTTAAGCTTTTTATTTACAGAAGCGAATAGTATATGAAAATAATAAAATTAGGGCTATATTAATTAATTTAATTAATTCAAATTAAATTTTTTGTTTGTTTATGAAAACAATACCTGAGAAAGGTCGCATGACTGAAATGTTGCATTAAAATTTGATTTGCAAGCTATAGCAGTGTGCAGGATTCGTCTATTTTATATATGAGTTAAAATAGATGAATAAGTAAAATTTGTTATACAAGTAATTGTTTTTTTAAAAAGACATCTTAACATGCCTTTTTCTAGTTGTCCGTGAGCACAGGATACAGATGTTTTTATTGTCATTATCTTTTAATCACAAATAGCTATTTTCATAATTTTTTACAGATTGATATAATAAAGAAAATGTATATATTGAAAATTCCATGACATAATTAATTATTTAATTTGATTCATTTTCATCAGTTTTATTTTACTGATATTTTATATCAATGTTTTTTTAAATCGATTTTATTTTTATATATATATATTTTATAAATTGATTTAAGATTCAGTAATTTTGTTGTGCGTTGTGTAATTTTTATTAATCATTTTAAACATGTCTATAGATTTTTTTTTATTAAGGTTTACTTTTTAGTCTTATTTTATTTAGTATTTTATTGTATTATTATATATATTTTTTTTAACTAAACAAAAATTAGAAATGCTGCTTGTTCATGTTTTTTATGATTTTAATTTTAGTTTTTGTTAACCCTGATTTCAATTACTTTTACAGGTGTAGAAATCACAGGTGTAAAATTTAGCTCATATATCCAGGTTTTCCAAAGCCGTGGGAACCCTTACTAAAACAACCTTATGAAACAAATTAAAATAAGAAATATGATGTCAGATTATATCTCGATTTTTGTTAATATTTGGTCTTATTTTAAATCATCCTGTGGCCCCTTGCAATTGTGCATAATATCATGTCATCACTACAACACTGTTCATTTACATAACACAATCTGCTTTTTTATGAAGTCATGGCTTTCAATAGAGTGCAGACCAGTGTTCATTGGACAAGATTTATTATAAAGTATAATATAACAGTCAAAACAGCAAAATATCCTAAACTTTTTTTAAAGGCACAGCAGCACAAAATGCCCTTCATTCTGAAAAAGGTTATGAAAAACACAATTATAATGAAGAATATATTAATAACAAAATATGTATGATATGACCTTAAAGCACATGAACATCAATTGGGTAACTGTCATCTCTTTACCAATATCATGCACTGCCTGTTTAATCCTCTTGTCTATTTGTATTTTTAAAAACACTGTAGGTTTGCAGACCTTGCACTTTGCCCTCCTCTCATTTCTGTCCTGTAGATGCATTTAGCACTATGCCAGCAGGATAACTGCTAGTTAAGTGATTTGGAGGTGCAGCACACCAGCTGCGTATGTGCGACGTAGCAGCATGCATTAATTCTCCGGGGGGCATTAAGCAGAGGATCAAATGGTGTGACCTTCAAAAACAGGAAACGCTCTGTCAGTGCACACACAGATGACTCGAACTCCAGCCTAATGAAGCTTCCCAATTAAAAATAACAAGGGAGAGAATAGGCCCAAGCAACATTCAGAGTTAATGGTGACGGTAGTGCAGCAGTGGTCCATTTATCACACCTTTTTAATTGTACTCCAGAAATCGCAGGCGCTTTTTTGCAGTGGGAAAAGACTACATTTTCGTGTTGGCTCATTAGAAGTGTGTGTGATGTTTTGTTCCATGTGTTTGTGTGTATTGCAGGCCTAAGACCATGAGTGATCATCAGGATCAGGCTGAAGATGTCGGCCTCCTAACGACTCATGATCAGTCAGAGCCCTCAAAGGACGATGACATGCATTTCAGGCAAGTTATGACTTGACTTTGGATATTCTGGTTTTAAACTATTTTGAAAGTTTAAAGTATTTTAGTGGTTGATGATAGTGGGCGGCATCTTGGCTTAGCGGGTAAAACTGTTGTCTCACAGCAAGAGTGTCCACGGTTCGACTTCTGGCTGACTTAGAAGGCCTTTCTGTGTTGAGTTTGCGTGTTCTACCTTTGAAGGTGTGTGTGTGTGGGGTGGGGTGGGGTGGGGGGGTGCGGGGGACATATGAGCACGATATGAGAAATTTTATTCTAAATTATATATATATAAGTGTATGTATACACACACACACACACACACACACACCTGTACATAGTTATTTTTCATATAAAAAATTTTCGTTTTACTAATACAGTAGGTTTAACATGTGTACTTTATTTAACATCTTTTGTTGTTTGATTAACATTAATGAGACAGACAGGTATGTAATTAGGCTGCTGTCCCTTTAAGACCGAATTAATGTAATGTACTGACACATATTCGGTTTTCACCCACCTGTTTACGTTCACTTAAGCCATAACCAACTGTATTTACGTGAGATACTCCACACGATGGACATTTTGACAGCTGTGTGTGTAATTGACGTGAAGGCGCAAGGAGTACTGATCGCAGAACTGGGATCGCGTGGGTGCGCGGCTGAGAGTGCTCTTCTGTTGTGTCATAAATAATTTTGTCGTAAATAAATTTTGAAATACAGGACAAAACGTGATTTTTTCAAAATAAGTCGAGACACTAAAAATAGAGCTGAAATACGGGACTGTCCCGGGAAAAATGGGACGTCTGGTCACCCTTCCCCAAAATGAGCTATGCTAAATATTTATTCACCTGCAGGCCAATTTTTTTTCTTCATGGGGACAGATGTGAATAAATTTAGGATTATATCACCTGCTCACCAATGGATCCTCTGCAGTGAATGGGTGCCGCCAGAATGAGAGTTCAAATGGCTGATAAAAACATCACAATAATCCACAAGTAATGCACACGATTCCATCAGTTCATCAATTAACATCCTGTGAGGTAAAAAGTTGCATGTTGGTAATAAATCCATCATTAAAACTTTTTAACTTTAAATGAGTCCTCTATCCACAATATTGCTTTCTCCTTGCAGTGAAAATATCATCTTGTCTAAATCAGGAGAGAAATATGCATACATCAAGCACCGTTTACTTGTGAAAACAGTCCAAAACAGTTCTAAACATATGTCAGTGGATTTTGAGTAAGAGGACAATGGGGATGGACTTTTTCAACTGGAGGAAGCATTATTATGTATTATGGACTGTTTCTGCCAGAAAGATGCTTACAAACATGCAGCTTTTCACTTCACAACAGGTTAATTGTAGATTAGAGTTGTGCTGATTAATTGTGGATTATTGTGATGTTTTCATCAGCTGTTTGGTCTCTCATTCTGACGGCACCCATTCACTGCAGAGGATCCATTGGTGAGAAAGTGATGTCATGCTAAATTCCTCCATAGCTGTTCTCATGAAGAAACAAACTCATCTACATCTTCGAGGCCTGAGGGGGAGTACATTTTCAGCAAATTTTCATTTTTGGGTGAACTATTGCTTTAAGATTCACTCATTTATGAATTTGTATTGAAATTTTTAAATAATTTTATTTTGGGACTGACACTAAATCTCATGATGGCAGATTCCATTATATGTGTAGTGCACTTCTTATATAAGCCCGTTCTGTGGCGGAGTATAATTGTAGGAATGTTTCCAGATGGGGTTTAGTTGAGCACTATATCATGTGCTCACACTGTCATCCGTTCTGTTCAGAGAGCTGACGTCCACAGGGCAGAATGACTGAACAGCTCAGTATCACAAAGGCTGTATTGTGTTTCCTCTGTAAAAATCCAAGTTTGACGATCTTTGTCCCCTTTTACTTGCTTCTAGATGAATTATTGACTGTACACAGCCGCTGGGACATATTCCCTTTCTGGCTCAAGATGCATTTTGGCTGTTAATCAGCCTGCCTATGCAGAACCTCAGCCAAGGGCATACAGACACCCTGCCAGTCTGGTAACTCTCCACCTCCGCAGGCAGGGCAAGATGAGCCTGCAACTGTGACATGCTGCAGTGCATACGCCAGAGCCCAGCATAATAAGAACATGTGACTCATGTCTGGATAGCACAAAACACACAGTAGCTATTGTAATATCGCTCTATTTATATATTTCTGTCATTTTTAAGGTATCTGCAAGCAGAATTCTTAATTCTGCTTAAAGGGATACTATTATGCTCTTTTACAAAGTCTTAATTTTGTTTTGGGGGTGTACTAGATCAGGCTGTCATACTAGGTTGTTCGAAAAACACATTATTTTTCGAATATTTTACATTATTACAACACCTCTCTCCCGGGTCTGGCATGAACGGCTCGAATAGTTCCTGTATCAAATGAAGGCCCGCCTTCTGAAATACGAAATGTGCTGTGATTGGTTAGCTGGGCCAGTGTGTGTTGTGATTGGTTAGCTGGGCCAGTGTGTGTTGTGATTGGCAGCACTCGGCGCCTGGTCGGGAAATGTCATGCCTCTTACCATAGCCGCCTGCGAGCTTCAGTGTAAATATTGCGTCAATATCAAATCAATTTGAGCGCGATTTAAACCCGGATGATTGTAACCACTCTAAGTTCATCTGCCTTGGGAAAGCTAGCGTGTCTCCGACATAGTGATAACACTCGTTGCCTTCTCTAGTGCAGCTCAACCAGGTCTCGTCCCATTCGTCGGTATTTGTGATATCACAAATCCCGGAAAATATGCATTGTAGTCCAAACGAGTCGTTCGTTGTAGTTTTTGAAAAGTGATTTCTGTTGAATAAAATATCTCCTTTTGAAGTGGACTTTGAGCTTTGTAACTTTGCAGATCTTTTTTATGCTCAAACAGCAACATTACAGACTAACTAAAGTTGAAAAAGTGAAAAAGCATAATAGGACTCCTTTAAATAACAAAGAGAAACTTGAATTTAAAAGTAGTTTGAGGCTGCTGAATGAGTTGTTATTCATTTTAGACAGAGATGTCTTTAAAGATGGCCTGTATATGCCATGACACCAGAGCCAAGCCTATTAAAAAAAAATTGCTGTAAATTTACTCACTTTCAGGCCAGATGAGTTTTTCATTGGAGCAGATTTGGAGAAATATAGCATTACATTTGACTGGTACACTTGCTCACCAATAGATCCTCTGCAGTGAATGGGTGCTGTCAGAATGAGTGTTCAAATAGCTGATAAAAACATCACAATAATCCACACGACTCCAGTCTATCAGTTAACGTCTTGTGAAGCGAAAAGCTGTGTGTTTATAATCTAGTTGCTTACAAGCGAATACAGTTCTAAACAAATATATTGGTGGATTTCGATGTGAAAGTATAACAGGGAATGGTCTTTTTCACTGGAGGAAGCGTTATTGTGAATTATGGACTCATATTTTGTCCAGAAGCTATAGTTTAAAGTTAAAACACCTTAATGGTGGATTTGTTTATTACAAACATGCAGCTTTTCATTTTACAAGACATTAACTGATGGACTAAAGTCATGTTTTTTACTTGTGGATTACTGTGATGTTTTTATCAGCTGTTTCGGCTTTCATTTTGACGGCACCCATTCACTGCAGAGGATTCATTGCCCTGAAAGATTCTCACAGGACCCATTCCACTCCAAATCTGTTCTGATGAAGAAACAAACTCATTTACATAATGGATGGCATTGCAATATTAATTTTTAGTAAACTATTCCTTTTTTAGTGAGATTTAGTACTATTAGAGCTACAAAATATGCTGGGATACTGAACATTTTTGAGTATGAAATATATGGCCCTGAAAAAACTATAACCGTTATGAATTTATTTACAATACATATTTAAAGTCCTCATAAGCCTCCCTTACTTGCAGGCCAACCTAATTAAATATTCAGGAGCAATAGCCAATGGCCATTGCTCCCAAACACAATATGCAGATTTGCCAACAGACAGGACCTCGGCTGAAACTTTGAAATAAGTTTGTACAATAGACAGATTATTTTAAAGCACTATACTACAGTTCACTAATACTATAGCTCAATGTATTGAGTATGAAATATATGGCCCTGAAAAAACTATAACCGTTATGAATTTATTTACAATACATATTTAAAGTCCTCATAAGCCTCCCTTACTTGCAGGCCAACCTAATTAAATATTCAGGAGCAATAGCCAATGGCCATTGCTCCCAAACACAATATGCAGATTTGCCAACAGACAGGACCTCGGCTGAAACTTTGAAATAAGTTAGTACAATAGACAGATTATTTTAAAGCACTATACTACAGTTCACTAATACTATAGCTCAATGTGCATTTTTAGATATTTGAATGCTTAAAGGGATAGTTCACCCAAAAATGAAAATTCTGTCTTTATTTACTCACTGTTGTTCCAAATTGGTATGACTTTTGTGGAACAAAAAAAAGAAGATATTTTGAAGAATGTTGGTAACCAAACAGATTTGGTTATGTCCACTGCATGAATAGTTTTCAAAATATATTATTTTATGTTCCACAGAAGAAAGAAAGTCATACAGTTCTGAAGTGGAGACATATAAGTGTATGTAAAAAAAACCTGAATTTTCATTTTTGGGTGAAATACCCCTTTAAAGTATCCAGGATGTGCGTATATAGTAAGTAATTTTGGCTGTAATAACATTGACGTACTGACAAAGGCAAGAAGTTATGAAGAGGGGGAAAAAAGCACATTTGGTGTGTATCTGTTGTTTTTCAATTAATTTTTCGTCCAATGCAAAAGACATTTTAAAAATTACAAATATAATAGGCCTATGACTTACATACTGTATACAGACTATTCGTATTTTCTGCACACCATATACTTTCACATTAAGTGGGTAGAATGCCATTCTGAACATGGTCACGACTAACTCGCCACACAGGAAACCACAACACATGTTGCTCTGAAAAACATACTTTCACACACTACTGAGATACTGCTGGTGATTTCTATTTGTTTTTATTATTTAATTAAAGCATGCAAATGTTTGCAACTCGGTTAGCGCTACATAAGGCATTGTTTCTCTGTTGAAATGGTGACAAAGGGAATATAGAATCATCTATAATAGACTCAGATGTTCATTTTTATTGGATAGAACAGCACAGTGCAGCGGAAACAGTAGCGGCCTAAGGGGACATAATATTATCTTCTCGGGAACAATGATGTGTGAAAAGAAACATGTTTCTGTTCACGGGTGTGGGTGTAGCGGTGTTCCCTGTTATGTTGAATGATGGTAAAGGCATAACAGATGCATTTGTCCTGTAATTAGTTTTCATTATTTCATTCTGGGCCATCATTGAAGTTTACGTTTTAATCCGGTGAAATTACAGGACGTTCCCACTGCAGCAGAGTAGTTTTAAAGGTGAAGTACATCAGGTGTCCCAACCGGTTAGCCACTGGACAGATATACTTGTGGTCCCCCTTCAAATCACACTATGGGTTGAATCAAAAGTTGACATGTCAAACCTGTAACCCATAAGTTACCAAGCCCAACTCTTAACAATTGGGCAATGACAATAATCATCGTAATTAACTTTTTCAATCACCAGCCATTGAGAAATTCTACTAGCCAAAATAGATGGCATTAGGATTTACTGCAGTCAGTCATTGTTTGCAGACACCATAAAAATAAAATAAAAATAAAAACAATTCTCAATGACTTTTTTGATAAAACAGCATTTGTTTTGTTGTAATGTCAAAATATAACTCACTCCAAAATGAATGTTTAATTATAAGCACATTGATTGATTAAGTGATCAGTTGTTTCCTAACAAAACTCAGTGATGTTTATGATACATTACAAGGGTATTCTTAGGACATTATAATGAATTAATAATGCATTATAAAAAAAAACCTTATGTTGTATCATCTCATAAATAAGCATAAGTACAGTTTTAACGTACGTACTTATTTGTGGTTATAGCTTTTAAGAGTATAATGATTTATAACCCAATGAACACGTTGCATCCACTTAATTTACAATGGATTATATTTTATATATTTATAAAATATTGTAAGTCTCATATCTTGCCTTTGTTGAAGATCTGCACAATAATTTAGTACATCGTATTAGTGTTGTTAAATGTAAAATGACAAATACAAAGTCTTCATGAAAACATCCAAAAGGCTTTAGAATGTGGTCTTATTATTTATAAGTGGACGTTGTATGCCATAAGTAAAGTAACTTCACTTTACTTAAAGCAGACAAAGACCACTTATAAATAATGATGGCGATAATAATAATAATAATAATAATTTTTATTCAATTAAACAGCCATAAGATCAGATATCAGCTCAGATGAATGTGTACACTTGCTTTGCACAATTTTTATTGTCATATTAGTATGATTATTTTGATTGGAGCATTATAGTTTGTCTGCTAAATATCTGCTAACACTGTATTTTGATGGTTCCCCAACAGACATTCTACTGACTATAAGCTATTTTTCAAGAACGTCATTATTATACATATTATTATGCATATTATTATTATTACGTCATATTCTGCCAACACTTAACCTTAACCTAAGGCTACTAACACTCTAATGAGAGTTAGTTGACATGCAGTTGCAAAGTTACTTATAGTCAGTAGACTAAGGGGACCATCAAAATAAAATGTAATCTAATATTTAAAAAAAAAAACAATGCATTTTTCCATTTGTATTACAACTGATCTTAAGCTAGCTCACAGCATAATTAACATTAACCTCACAGGAATCACTCAAAAAGAATAGTTGACATGCAGTTGCAAAGTTACTTATAGTCAGTAGACTAAGGGGACCATCAAAATAAAATGTAATCTAATATTTAAAAAAAAAACAATGCATTTTTCCATTTGTATTACAACTGATCTTAAGCTAGCTCACAGCATAATTAACATTAACCTCACAGGAATCACTCAAAAAGAAAAAAAAAAGAAACACACACACACACACACTCAACCACTCCTAACCACTCACAAGATGTAGTAAGATACTGTGTAGATCTTAAATAAACAATGTCAAGATATGAGATAATCCATTATAAATTAATTAGATTTAATATGGCATTCATTGTGCGTTATAAATAATCATACTCTTAAAAGTTATAACCACAAATGTGTAAGAAATTATAATGCCTTACCCTGTATTATAAATACGGGCTTTATAGAAAGTGTTACCAATATGTCTAACAAAAATCAGTTTGTGCAAAAATCAATTTCATGTGTCACGTGAATGTCTTGAGCTTTTCTCTGGAAACGTTATTAGTGTCAAAGTCGTAAGCTTTATGTTATGGGATGGCCCTCTGCCTCGGCCTGAGCATGAGCATATTTGGAGGGCTGGGGATCATCGGCTTGTATGTATTCTCTGTCATGAATTCACCCTGAGGTTAACAAGGCTGTTTTTGTGCTTACCTAGATAAATTACATATTGTGTAGGAAAATATCCCTTTTAGTTCACAAAATCATTATAAATTAATTAGATTTAATATGGCATTCATTGTGCGTTATAAATAATCATACTCTTAAAAGTTATAACCACAAATGTGTAAGAAATTATAATGCCTTACCCTGTATTATAAATACGGGCTTTATAGAAAGTGTTACCAATATGTCTAACAAAAATCAGTTTGTGCAAAAATCAATTTCATATGTCACGTGAATGTCTTGAGCTTTTCTCTGGAAACGTTATTAGTGTCAAAGTCGTAAGCTTTATGTTATGGGATGGCCCTCTGCCTCGGCCTGAGCATGAGCATATTTGGAGGGCTGGGGATCATCGGCTTATATGTATTCTCTGTCATGAATTCACCCTGAGGTTAACAAGGCTGTTTTTGTGCTTACCTAGATAAATTACATATTGTGTAGGAAAATATCCCTTTTAGTTCACAAAATGTGCTTTTACCATAACATTCTCATTTAAACCGCATCATATTGGATATCCAGGTTAATATTTATCCAGATCCTCTTACATATTTCTTTCTGTATCACAGGGTGCATCTAATAGATGATCTGTCATATGAGGACGCCAAGAAATGCTACCGTGGATCTGTAAGTACCAGATGACATACAGTTCGATATCATTTTGTCCAACCTATAAATACAGTGACCCAAAAAACAGTTTGGAAAATGAGCCTATTTTCAAAAATAGTGGAGTGTTCCTTTAACCGTATTTAAAAATGTCTGTATGTAAATATAAAAATAAAAGTATATTTGAACATATATAACATTTTTGTAAGCATTATAATACATTTTCTATCAGATTAAATATTTTCACATGTCCTCAGCTTTTGTTTCATGGCAAAAACCAAGAAAGAAGAGCTGTACAGCTTTCTGTTAATATTTATGTTAACTGGAGAAAGATGTGTTTTGCCCCCAGATGGTGTAGTTACAGCATCTACCAGCAGGGGTTAATGGGACCATGCTAACTAGCTAAACCTTGACCTCTGGTAATAAACAACAACAAAATATTATCTCAAAATTTGACAAAATCCAGTCTCTTGACTGAGAATTGATAAACAAAACCTCTATATACAACCAGTGCTGTTTTCTGAGCAATAAACATATCTTTAGTTGGCATGAGGTGGAAAAAACACCACATCCAAGGGATCCAGCATTTTTGCAATTATTTTTAGCCATCTGGTATCGTAGTGATTTTTAGTGAATATACAAAGTGAGTTCCAAGTCACACATTAACCACTTTATAACAAGTTTTTTCAAAGTTGTAAATAAAACAAAGATTATTGGAGTGTTTTACAAGATAATATTTCAATGTGTTACTTCTTGGTTCTTTGTAATTATTTGTGTAAAATTACTGCAAATTGCTGCGTCACACATTTATGTCAGTGTATGAACATATTCCAGTAACATTGGACAAGCAGAAAATGTCACAGTGATTTTTGCCAACAAAAAATAAAATCTTAAACTTCGTAAAAAAAAAAAAAAAAAACTTCGTAAAACTTATTTTTGTAAAACTGTTGTCATATTTCCTAAAAATAAATGCCACATTAATATCTTGTTATCCTACGAAAATACTTGATGAAAGTCTTTCTTACACTTTTAGTTGTAACTTAAGTGTCCAAATATGTTTTGGGTCTCTGTAAAAAGAATTTTGGTGCCTGTCATAGAGTAATTCGGTAGATTTTAGAGTAGATTCTGTGACCACAGCTTTGCTATTCAGGAAGTTTGAGTGAAGGTCACAATGAAAGATACTGTCATACTGCACCTCCAGGGCCCTACCTAGCCTTGGTTATAGAATTAAGAAATATTGCTTTTATTACAGCTTATAAACAGACAGTGTAGTTGTACAAGCAGGGTTAAAAATTGGACTGGATCAGCCCATCTACATAATGAACATCCATCATCCTAATGATCTGTTGTGTATCAGTGTGCTCTGAAACGCTCTAAGCTGCAGGAAGCAATAGTGAGAGAGCGCTGGTGAAGACAAATGTGCTAGAAACAAGCCCACAGGTTTTTCCGTCAAGGCGCAGTGGGTGTTTCTTTTGCGTGTCTGTGACGGGGCAGTGAAGAAAGAGAGACAGAGCGAGCGAGAGCGAGAACGATAGAGAGCGAGAGCGATAGAGAGAGACGCTTCTGAAGTAAGAAGAAACGCTGTGTTAGCTCACAGGAACAGGACGAAGCTAAGTTGGCTCTTGGGTCCCGGGACAGTGGAGAGGGACGGGGTATCAGCGAGGCTGCCTCTCGGTTGGTGTGGAGTGTTTGTGTCGTGTCAGCATGCTCAGCTTGGTGCAGAGCTCACATCCCTTAAGAGAAAGAGCCAGGCTGCAGAAGAGCTGTGCGAAGCAGCTGATTTCTCTTTCCTCTACTTCCTCACAGACCGTCAGCAAGTACAATGCGCAGTACCACAAGCTTTTCCAGAGCATTCCCAAAGAAGAGCTGCTAATGAAAGGTAAGTTTGTTCCACTGCATCCTCTTACGTATTAGTTTGCTGCATCTTGCCGCTCCTTGTAAAGTGACCTTGTGAAATGATCAAATAATTATTTTGATAGTGCGACTCTAGCTTCCTCAGTAACATCTTGCTGTTGCTTTAAAGTAGTTTAGTTTATTTAAAATCAGACTGGTGAACATGCTGTGTTAATAAAAATGTCCATTACATACAGAGGTGGGCAAAGGTCTGAAAACACTAGTTAATAATACATTTACCACTAGTGAACTATTACTAAAAATGCTTCATATCATGCATCTTATTTGTATTATGTTATGTTATGTTATGTTATGTTATATTATATTATATTATATAAAAAAATTTACAAGTGTAATTATTTTATATAATATATTTAAAGGGTTAGTTCACCCAAAAATGAAAATTCTGTCATTAATTACTCACCCTCATGTCGTTTCAAACCCGCAAGACCTTCGTTCATCTTCGGAACACAAATTAAGATATTTTTGATGGAATCTGAGAGCTGTCTGACCCTGCATAGACAGCAACACAACTGAAATGTTCCCAAGTCCAGAAACGTAGCAAGGAGACCTGTAAAATAATCCATGCAACATCAGTGGTTCATACGCAATTATGCGAAGCTACGAGAATACTTTTTGTGCCCAAAAGAAAAACAATTTGTCTCCTCCGCATCACCCTGGTGCCATTTTGGAGAATATCAGCTGGACGTAAACAGCGTATGCTGTTCTGTGTCAGCTGCGTCACGCAGATATGTTGTTTTCGTTCAGATCAAATCACAACAACGTAGGAAACAGTTCCGGCGTGACGCAGCTGACACAGAACAGCATACGCTGTTTACGTCCAGCTGATATTCTCCAAAATGGCACCAGGGTGATGCGGAGGAGACGAATTGTTGAATAAAGTCGTTATTTTTTTTCTTTTGGGCACAAAAAGTATTCTCATAGCTTCGTATAATTGCGGATGAACCACTGATGTTGCATGGATTATTTTATAGATCTCCTTGCTACGTTTCTGGACTTGGGAACATTTCAGTTGC